GGAGAGGGAGGAGGAGGAGAGAGAGGGAGGCAGTCCAGTATAGGATTTATGTGTCCTAAACTATGTTTTATTTAAGCTGAACCAGACACCCAACCCATTGTTCTTTAATTCTCACTATTCTGTGTGAACATTACTGTAGTTAAACACAGACCACACATCCCCTAGCTCACCCAAAACCAACCAAACAAAAAGGACTGTGCTCCTATGGATCAATTTAGAAATAATGGCATTTTTACACTATTGAAAATTATTTGGAAACATAATGTCTTCAACTTAACATCTGCTCTTGCACTCCTCATGCCCCAGCCCCCTGTCCTGAGTGATTCCTTCCTCCTGCAGGTACCCCCTGTGCCCCAGCCCCTTCTGAGTGCCCCTCGTGCCCCAGCCCCACTTCCTGAGTGACTCCTCCCTCCTGCAGATGGCTGGTCCTGTCTCAGCCTCCTCTCTTAAGAAGTCGTCCATCCTTGATGTTCACTACGTGGGCCCCTTTTTACATTCCTTATTCGGTTCTCTGCCTCCCCTCCCCCACCTGCCTGTCATTGCCTCCCCTGGAAAGTGCTGGCTCTGACCAGTGTCTCTGCCGTGATTCTCTCTGTTCTCGGCATAGCAACCAGCATGAGCCTCTCACAAACACTTCAGTTCTCTGCTCGAAGTCCACCGTCCCCTACCTGCTTCCCCCCACCCGGCCAGAACAGATTTCTAAGGGCACTGTCGAGCGCTCTCTCAGGGTGGATGTGTAGGTGGGTGGGTGTGAGGCAGCACGTCTCCTCTGTAGTTGTCTTATGGCTGTTTTGGTTATTTTGTGCCGCTGAGATTCCTGGTTCCTGCTTGTTAGGTTTGCCAACTGTCTGTCAGTCCCCTGACTTTTCTTTTTGTTTCTAGTAGGTTTCGGTTGTGGACTGGGATTATCCAGTTACATCAGCTGCAAATGCTGTTTGTACTTTTTTCAGTATATGTTTAGCAACACAACATTTAACTCAACTTTACATGATTATCACTATGAAATTCTCTTAATTGTGTTAATACAGTGTTTAAATGATCGCTTCTTAGTTTTTTTAGGCAAGTATTAGATTTTTCAGTTTGGAATCTCTTCCTTATGTGTCTGTAATTTTGTTGCATTGTGGATGAAGGGTGGTTGAGGCCTTTGCAAATTATTGTTAATCAGCTTCATTTAAAATCATTTTGTGGGCTGTCATCGAGCTATTTGACTCCCATATCAAGTCCATTTTTATGAAAAGTATTGTTTTGTTATAGGTGAATAGAATTACTTGAGAGAGGATAGTAAGAACTGCGTACTCTCAGTGACCTGCCATTCAATAAAATAGAACTAAAAGCCTAATTAGAAATTGTAGTAACTAATGTCTGCTCTTTTCTAATAGGAAAAAGCATCAATAAAGTCATTGATAAGTCTTGCAGAAGGCTATAGTTCTCACTGCCATCCGATTTCCCAGCTTAAAAAGCAGGTATGCTGAAGGTCAAATGCTTGGGAGAGGGGTTTGTGTGAGTCTTTGTCAGGAGGGCTGGGGGTGCCCCGGCAAGCAGAGTGTAGCCCGTGCACCACCAGCTGTGTGACCCTGGCCGGGTTGCTCAGAGTCTCCGGGCCTCTGTGGCTCAGCTCCTGTGTCTAACGGTTGATGGTGATGGCTGGGTGTTTTTGGCAAGTGGATGAGTGCTGGCAAGGGTCTGGTGTAGTGCCGTGGAGGCTGTTAGCGTCCTACCCAACTGAGCCAGGGCAGTAGCAGACTGTCAGTGGCGAGGGATGGCCTTTCCTTTTTCTGTAGAAAACCAGTGCTTGTTAACTTAGAAACTCCCACAGACAGCAAACTGAAGTTCTCCTGCCAGGAGGCTCCAATTTGGAAACTGTCTGAGGTGCTGCGTCTGTATGAGGCATAGTGCAGGGCAGGAGAGGGCCGTCCCCAGGAACCAAGGACTCGGGGCTGGAACGTGGACGCCCCCCAGTGAGATGCCCTCTCCAAGGAAGCTGTGAAGTCAGCGCAGGTGGTTGGGGGAGCTCTCAAAGGCAACTTAGTGGAACGGAGCTTGGAGAAGGCCATGGCCTGACCAGTGGTGTCCTCGGAAAGTACCGTCAGGGAGAGCATTCCCAGGGCGTCAGCATCCACGACTGCTTGCGGGAAGGATTCCTCAAGTCCTAGGGTCAGGCGGTTCTGTTGGGAGCCAGTGAACCTGGCTGTTCTGGTTTGGTGGCTGCGCTGCAGCTAACTTTGCTCCCAGGAAGTCACCCAGAGCTGGGAGCGCCAGGGCCAGCACTGGGGAGAAGGCAGTGAGGAGTGAGAGTGAAAGAAGCTCGCTGAAGCAGGCTTTTCCCTCGACCTGAGCTGCCCAGGCTCCCGGGCTCCCTTGCGCTCCTGACTGTCCTTTCCCTGCCCCAGAGGGGCCTCCCCTTCCCCACTGCCCTGCGTCCATCACGCGTCCTTTCCTTTCAGCTGTTCCACACTCTGCCGTGGGACCGATCACCCAGCTCAGTGGTGTCAGCAGCCCATGTTCAGCTCACCTTCGGGTCGGCTCTGACGAGGAATCTGTCATGGAGCTGCAGCCCTCACAGCTCTGCTGTGTGGGTGACCCATCAGAGAATGCTGGACGCTGGCTGAGGCCTGTGGGCACCAGTGCTGCTTTGTTCTACAGATATGTCCTGGATGATGGCAGCTTCAGCCAGCCGGGCCCTGGACAGGGAGCCCATCTCAGGTCAGAAGGGTGGCAGCGCATGGCAGCCTAGACGT